TTTTTTTTTTTTTAATAAACCAAAGAACTTTTAAAGAAGGATTTGACGCTGTGAAGGGGATGAAAAGACAAGCTACAGACTGAAGGGAAATATTTGAAAACTACACAGCCCGCAAGAAATAAACATGTAATTAGGAAATGAGCAAAATACATGACCAGCTGGCAAATAAACACATAAAAAATTCAACATTATTAGCCGTTAGGGAACAGATTAAAACCACAATGAGATATCACTGCACATCTATCAGAATAGCTAAAATAAAAAATAGTGGCAATAAAAATGCTAGTGATGATGCAAAGAAATTGGATTACTTACACATTGCTGGTAGGAATGTAAAATCGTACAGCCAGTCTGGAAAAGAATATGGCAGTTTCTTATAAAACTAAACATGAGTTTACCATATATCAGTTGCACTTTTGGGCCTTTGTCCCAGGGAAATTAAAACACAAAAACCTGTACCAATTAATAATACTTCTGTATTACTCTTTATCCCCCTCTATTTATCAGCTCCTGGCATATTGTATATTTACTTACTTGTTTGTTTAATGTCTAGCTCATTCCACTAGAATGTAAGATTTATTATGAACAGGGATTTCAGTTGTATTCTTTCCTATATTCCCAACATCAAGAACAGTACCTAGCATTAGTAAGTAGTAAGTTGGTTAATCAATCAATCAATGGAAAAGGAGTATAAAGCAGATTTTGGAAGAGAATCCTGCCAAACTTATATATATCTCCATCTGAATCTACCCTTGTATGGAGTCTGAGTAGCTCAGACGATTTTGAATGGTCTGATTTCTAAGATAAGAACTAGGAGTATCTCCCATGAAATCTAAGAAAGGAATTGAATGGGAGCCAGACGTGATAGAACAAGCCCTATTTACATTAAAGTGAACACCAGGAATTTTTTTTTAACACTGTGACTGGTAACTCCCATTATATGAGTCTACATTAAGAGTCTTCAGAAGGAAGCTTATAATGTAGGTGGAGGGAATAAAATTGTACAAACAATAGGACAAGATAGAGTTAAATCAGTATCATAAGAGAAATTCAGGCACCTTTGTGGAATCAAAGGAGGTTGGCTTTGGTATTAGGAAAGGCTTTATGGAAGGACTGGTATTTATTTTGGAACTTGGTATTTATGTGGAACTTAAATTTTTTGGATAAAATTTAGCAAGTGGAAATACATCAGTATTTCTAGTGGATGGAACAAAGAAAAGATTGGAGGATCTGTGTATACATTCCTCTATGTGTGTGTGTGTTTTGAATAGAAATAATGGAATAATGCTTCGGGGAATAGCAAGTGTAGTAGTGAGATGACTGTGAGACTTACAATGTAGAAAGTGATTTTAAGATGCCTAGCTCAGGCCCTTGCATGTGGAGGATACAGAATGAATGTTACTTCTCTTTCTCCCAGGCAATTTTGAGGAAAAATTGGGAGTTCTGGCTTAGGGGAGAAAATGAGCCAAAACACTGAAGTCGTAGCACTGAGAAGCACCCCTGATAGTGTAACTCATCATGAGACCTTCAGTTCCCTGACGGGAAGCTTTTGAGTTTCCACTTTGATTGATTTTGTCTGAATTTATTTGGCACCTAATATTTATTTATTTATTTATTACATTTATTACATTTATTTAGTTTAGCACTGAATATTATAAAAAGGGGCCAAATAAGGTTACACATCTAAGGTGAGAATTTTTTATGAATAAACTCAGAATTCCTATTCTAAAAATTACTTACTGAACTCTAATTTTTTTTAATCTGAAGGGAATTAATTTCTCTTGGAACATCTCTTCATCAGGCAATAGAGTTCCAATTTATATGCATTTGGTGCATATTGTAAAGCATAATTTTTTAGTTAAAACCTTAAAATGAAATCTGTCTATTTAACAAGAAATTTAGACAGAAATGATTGTACTATATTCAGGATCTCAGCCTTTAACGATACTGGCTTTTGTTTTAATACGTAATGCAGTCAAAAAACCAAATATTTAATTGCTGGTTAGTTCTATTTAGAGTCAGAGAAGTGCTTCTAAGAATATATTTAATAGAGATCTGGCATAAATTATGGAGAGAGAGTAACTTTTCCCAGATTAGATAGTCATACCTTAGAGATGAAAGAACATGATTTTCATCTACTCCATGGTATTCTTTCTAATATCCTTTGAAAGATCCTTTTTGATCTCTACAAAAGAGAGTAGCTTTGTTTGGAGTAGCTCAAAGTGCTTTTTGCATACTTACAGCTTAAGTAACATTTTAAAAATAAATTCAGCTTTTGTGTAAAGTTAACAATTCCATTTTTCCTCCATGTAAGTGTCACGGAAAGAGCCAGAACATGGTGTTAAATAACATGGCATGTGAGCTTTGGCAGATCACTTAATCTTAGCAGGCCTTAGCTTCTTCAACTGTAAATGTCTGCTTGAAAACTAAGGTAACTGAAGCATTCTCTGAAACGATGCAGATCTCTTCTCACCCTCTTTGTTTTTCTTTTCATTTGCCCAATTGCATTCCTTAGTAGCCCACTATGGGTCACTTATAGGAACTCTAGGCAATTCACCAAATACAAACTATCTTTTCAACCCACTCACAGCAAACTTCCTGGATCTTTCCTTTACATTTCTAGATTCCTTTTCACTGTGGTAAAGAAAACCTACCTGCTTTATCCTCTTTCCTTTACCCTTGTTCCACATAGACTATGAATGTACTTCTCTCTGAAAATGCTGTCATTCAAATTCAAAGCTCTGTGTAGAATCTTATAATGTAATCGTTAGTTTTCATATATGGTTATTTATTTATACTTATTTTTTCAGGTTTTTTTTTAAAATAAGCTTTTAGAATCTTTTTAAGTTTCCCTTTTACTATAATAGGCATTTAAAAAATGTTTCTGATTACTTGATTTTGTAATGTATAGTGACTTCTTCGAAAACTGCATGTTGACTTTTTAGGGTTTTATGTTTTGTTTTGTTTTGTTTTAGATGAACAGCCAAATTTAGGGGTACTTTCACTGGAAAATTAATCTAATACATATATTTTAATTTTCAGGCCATCTGTCATATCAAATATGCATGTTGTCATAGTTGAGAGTGGCAGTTTAAATGTAGCTAGTTAAAATGTGGGTGGAAAAAGCCTTGGGTTAGTAGTTAAGTGTAAGATCATAGTACTCTATTGTTCTCTGAATTTGAGAAGAATAATCAGTTGTGATGTTTTCACATTTGTTTTCAATTTGCCTATTGGTAAAATACACCTTTTTATTTCTATATGCATATTGTTTTCAATTTGTCTTCTATTTTTAAGACAAAGTTTGTATTAGATATTTAAAGATATGTTAATATAAACATTTTAGCAAAGTGTAATTATTAATGGGAAAAGACAATAGGAATAACAATAGTTTGCCTTTCAAAGATGTATTGTCGTTATTGGCATCTTTATTATACTCTCTGTTACCTTCCAGTGTTGAGATTTTCCAAATGTCTGGCCAATTCTTTCTATACTTAAATGTTATATAAAAGAAGAACAGAACAGCAAAATCCTGTTCAAGGATTTTGGTGTTACACTGTGACTTGCTTTATATATTTTAATGTGTTGTTTAGGCTTTGAAAAGCTTTATAAATAACCAAGATCACTTTTTCTTAAGGTCATGGCTTTCATATAAAATCTTTCTTTCTTTGTTCTTTTTAAATCTAGGTGACTGTGGGGATCATGTTGTCATTATGAACACAAGGCACATTGCATTTTCTGGAAATAAATGGGAACAAAAAGTATACTCCTCACATACTGGGTAAGATAAAGCTATTGTCCAACAGACATATGAAAAAATGCTCACATCACTAACCATCAGGAAATGCCAGTCAAAACCACAATGAGATACTACCTTACATGTGTCAGCATGGCCAGAATCAAGAAGACAATACATAACAAATGTTGGTGAGGATGTGGAGAAAAAGGAACCTTCATACACTGTTGGTGGGAATGTAAACTGGTGCAGCCACTGTGGAAGACAGTATGGAGGTTCCTCAAAAAATTAAAAATAGAACTACCATATGATCCACTAGTTCCACTACTAGGTATTTAGCCAAAGAAAATGAAAACACTAATTTGTGAATACATATATACCCCTATGTTTATTGCAGCATTATTTATAATAGGCAAAATAGAAAAGCAATCCAAGTGTGCACTGATAGATGAATGGCTAATGATGTACACATGTGCACATGCACTGGAATATTACTCAGCCACAAAAAAGGATGCAGTCTTGCCATTTGCAACAATGTGAGTATATAATGTTAAGTGAAGACTCGGAAAGATAAATGACATATGATTTCACTTATATGTGGAATCTAAAAAACAAATAAATAGGGGCACCTGGGTGGCTCAGCCCATTAAGCATCTGCCTTCAGCTCAGGTCATGATCCCGGGATCCTGGGATGGAGCCCCGCGTCGGGCTCCCCGCTCAGCGGGGGGCCTGCTTCTCCCTCTCCCTCTGCTCCCCTGCTCCTGCTCTCTTTCTCTCTCAAATAAATAAATAATCTTTAAAAAAATAA